CTTTTCTTTTTGGACCCTGCACTTCTGTGACACATCAGACTGACTGATGTCCTGACATGAGTGATGTAAAAAGCAGAGTTTTATCTTCTACATGAATCAATGCATCATCATAATGATGCATGGATTTTGAGCTTTGAACAGCAGGACATATTACTTATAAATGTAGCTACAGTTATGAATTACAAGTTACTTCCCTAAAAATGACACTTTATGTTGTAGCAAATCTCTCCCCCCTATTTTAATTAGGACTTTCCTTTGGACAGCATTGATGATAGTTCTTGCCTTTATTCTGAGTATATACGCTCATTATCAGCATATCGTTAACATGTTATTACATCACAGATGTTTAGTGATGCCAAACAGTGCATCCTCTCTTTAATATTATTCATGTTCCAATCATGATTAGTCTATCAATGCTTTGCTCTTAATCAAAGGGAAATTTCTATATATTCCTTCCATTGTTCACTTTCTTCCATTTTAACTTACATTCTCTTCCATTGCTGTCTTGCTGTCTTTTAACAAACACAGAGTCTGTGTTTTAATCCCCAGCCCACAGGTTGCACTACAGGGGGAGCTGTCAGTGATGACCTCCAGTGGTATTTTATCCTCCTCCATGTCAGCAGGGATGAGAAGATGCAGAAATAGCAGGAAATGAAGCATCATGGTGCTAATATGCATTTTGTGTTCTGTGTGTTTGATGGTGTATCTACAAAAACAATAGATGAAAAAAAGCAATGAAATATTACAAAAAACATGAAAATTTGTTTTTCTATTTCGATCATTTTAAATGACTTTATATTCAAAAATATATTAAAAGGAACCATAAAAATCAGCTGCAGCTCCTTTTTGCCACATAAACTGTAGGACCAAAGGCACAGTTAATATTTTAACTCTAAGGCCAAAAACCCCCAAAAATATTTGCTTCTTCTTATCATGTTTCCGCTGTTATACTAAACATCAAGGTAATACCTTGAAGAAAGCCTGGGTTAATAATTTTGACGGGAAATCGGGAAATTTTGAAGGGAAATCGTTTTTTTTTTTTAATCCTTAAAATGCAGTCCTTGTTAAATCATCTATTTTGATCATTTTAAATGATCAAAATAGGAAAAAAAAAATTCTGATTCAGTTTGTCAGTTACTGTATATGAACCATTAGTAACTGACAGCCTGAAGAAATTAAATGTATTTTTAAGGATGACTATAGAATTATACAGTTTCAACTTCAAATTAACTGAAAATACATGTTTTAGGAAAATGTAACTTGCCACAGTAGTTAAATGCTCTTACCTTTAGCACGTAACAATGAAGAAAAAGGACCAAACTTAGATCATAGAGTTCAAGTTGCATTTTTTAATATAGATGTTTTGTTGTGGCAACAGCAATTCTAGAATGTGATCCTATTGTCTCCTCCTATCCTCTCTATATGATTCCTACATTGTGTCTTGCTTTTCTGTATGTATGAATTAGGGAGATTGAAGCCTTTGCTTTTCCATAGTTGTTAACATAAAAAAAAATTAAATTGTTTCATCTGCAGTTTTTCTTGCATCTTGGCCACCAGATGTCACACAAGCACAAGAAGACAAACCACAGTGGAACTGTTGGATTTGATGCATTGAGGTAAACTAATAAAGTATGAAATACTGAGAGATATCCATAATTTTCCCACTCAGTTCTGTCATATCAAAAACAGCAAAGAGGAAAGATTACAGGAAAGGACGCTGGATAAAAATGTGAAGCATGATCTTTTGTTACAGTATATTCAGTGGTATGGATCATTTAAAAAAAAAAAATCAGAGAATATGAACACATGAACTGATTTACTTGAATAATTTTCAGACTGTGTGCCCAGATTTTTTTATTCACTTTTTATTAATGGATTTGGATCAAGAGCTCAGATTTTGGTTATTTCCTATTTTTAGTTTGTGTTTGTTTTCTTCCTTTGAAATCCTCTGAATAACAGAATCGGTTTTTATTTTATTTTTATTTTTTTGTTGTGTTGGTTTTAATTACTCCACATTCAAACTAGTTAATGTTAATAGACCATACAGTCTATTCTATTTCAATCTCCATGCATATGTATTCGGTAGCTTCTATTTTTCAGGTGCAATAGGCCAAAAAGGGGCTTCAACTGTCTCTTGATGAAGGATTATAAGCAATTATGCAGTACTCTGCTGCCAGCAAATTAGTGTTTTCAGAACAATTAAAAAATAGTTGGAGATAGTTATCAGGACCACACGAAAAACATATTGAGTACAAAAAGATGCATATTAAAATGAAAGATGAAGCTACTGGAATCCATTCTCCTTCAGTGCTGTCAAATTCCTGAACTGGTACCCACCTAATAGGAGGTGGGGCCGGGGTTCTTTAGTCAGTTTAATTCAGGCTGAAGACTGAAAGACTCAAAATCAACTCCAGAATCAACTGCCAGATGTTAGAAAGACTTTTCAAGCAGGAAGAAGTCGGTATCTTTAAGAGTTATTTGATTTTTATACCAAAGCTATGCTTCATTTCATCCATCAATGAACCAAAAAATGTTAGCTGGAGAAGTAAAAGAATGATTCTCCTGTCTGTGAACTCACAAATACACCTCCTCCTCCTTGAGGAAAGAAGGAGGGTCTTTTCTGGATTTGTTTTCAGAAATACTGTCAAATGTTAGCTTGATTGTTAATCTCTCATTGATATAAAAATATATTTGTATTTCATATAGCTGCAAAGCAACTCTGCACACTAATGGTTTTCTAATAGGTTTGCACACAAATATATTCTCCTATGAAAGGCCAAACCTCCCATTTACTTTCTTAAACATTTGAGTCTGAGCTTTTAGGACTAACTTTGAACTCAACCATTGTTCAGTTAATATAATCAGACTCAGCTATTGTGCAGACAGTATAAATCATTGTCAACTGGTAATTGATCCATTTGTATGTCATCTGAGGTGGTTGGTTGGAGTTGGCCATGGGTTTGTTTCAGTCTTTTTCAATGCCCATTTGGAAAGCTGACCAGTCCTTGTGGATCACGGATTGATTGCCAGTTTATTATGGTGCAAAACAGAGTAACAGTGGAGAAACAACCATGCACTTCGATTACCATCACTGGGATTTGATAGAGGATGTATTACTGTGCAAGTGTTACTTACTCCTGCGTTAAGCAGATAAAAATGGAAAATATTTGTGGCAAAACCTGTAGACACACATCGTATACTTTCTTTCATTACTAATAATTTACTGTCACATGTTTTCAGTTCTTATTCATTCCTGCAAAGTTGTCAATTTTACCCCCTAGTTGTTAATATTTTTTCATTTCTCTCAGGTTCAGTATATCCCCTACAATTTATTTATGTGTGCATACCACATAGATCCAGACACTTAAATCACTCTAAAAACAATGTATTAAAAATCTTATTTAATTATTTAATGTATTATCTTTTTTTTATTTAGCAGTCATTTGTCTTTGTTAATTGTCTTTCTGTGTTCATCAATTAATGCTATCCTGTTACAATGCTGACAAAAGCGCAAGGATAAATACACTTTTTCCTATAAAACAATCACTTCATGCTTATGTAAAAATGCTAAATATTTAGCACAAAAATTCTTAGCAACATCAATGAAAAGACCTTTGAGAAACAGTAAGCACAGCTCTTGTTTTTCATCATGGATCATCTATTAGGACACTGTCTGGATTCTGCTTTGTCCTAAAACAGTTATTTATAAATTCTGAGAAGGACTCCATCTGCTGTCGGGAAGAGAACCAAGACACGACAATGAACATAAACAGGAAAAACCTCTCACAAAGTGAGTCAGGAGGATGAGTCAGCAGAAGTGGGGTGCTGAAACCTCGTTAGAAGCCAAGAACAACGGCCTATTTGGCAGATCGGGAAAACTCAGAAAGTGGTGAACACTAAAGTCCTCAGTGTGTGTGTGTGCCCACATTCCAGGCAATGGTTGTTGTAGTATAAGAGGACAGTAATAACAACCGAGATATCTGTGGTGTGTTGTATTAAAAAAATGTGTTTCCTCCAAGTTAAAATCAAATAAAATTAAGGGAAATATCCAGCAATAGATTTACACTGCAAAACAATTGAAATCTAAGTACCAGTAGGTTTTTTGTTTTTTTTTTTGTTTTTAAAGAGCATTTTTTTCTTGAATTAAGCAGTTAAGTGATTAACATTGCCAATGGAATAAGGAAAATTTACATCTAAAATAAAAAAAGTGGATATTATCTAATTGTCTCATTCCAAATTAGATAATTTGCCAATGGAATGAGTAAAAATACTCATTCCATTGGCAAATCTTATTATTTACTTGCTTAAATTATGCTAAATACACTTATTTTAAGAAATTTTTACTCCTTTCCAGATCGTTTTGCAGTGTACAGAAATATTTCTCCTACTTCAGGGCCATTTATCGGACATTTTAAGGCTTCCCAAACGAATTTAGGCACTGGAAAAAAAAAAAGTGTAAGAGTAATCCAAAGTTTTTTTTAAAGAAGCAATGGTTGATGATGATTTAATGGCATTGTTTGAATATTCTCTTTTGTTTCCAAACATTGTTAAAAAGTGCACACCTGTACTCCATTTGCAAATATTCTTTTGCACTTTGGAGTTTGTTAATTACGACAAACCTAAAAATCTTTCTGAGGCTTTACAAATCTCTTCAACACTTGCAAACTGCATTGATTTAATGAGAATCCTTTTAAATGTTAGCAGCAAAAGCCTCCTATTATTAATAGATACAGAAACCATTCTTCTAACCAGGGCTGTTTACTTTTTTGGTCTGCTGGGCTTCAGTGACAGTTGTCAGTTGCATACAGGCGTGGTTTAAGCTTCTGAACTATTTATGTGACAGTTAACTTCCTTGCATAAAGGGGAATAAACATTAGATCACAGTTGCAACTCAAAAGACAGCAGAGATTCTACACATTTTTTACATTAGATTAAATAGTTGTATTAAAAGTAGGAATTCTGCAAAAGATATTCCACATTTATACTAAGTGTTAAAAAAAGAAAGTAAAATAGCAAAGTTAGATTCAACTTCTGTAAAATGGTAATATGATTCTGCTGTTTATAGCTACGGACAAAGGTAAAAGCTCTTCTGTGTTTAGCATTTCCTATTTCCTATTTGAACTTTGAGCTTTGGCACATTTCTACTGAACTGTCTCTCAAGTTCTTTCACTTAGCAGAGAAATGACAGAGTACTTGCTGAAAATACTGATTGTAGGTGATGGAAATGTTGGAAAGTCTTCCTTTGTGCACCGATATGTTAGTGGACAGTTCAACAAAACGTACAAGATGACTGTGGGAGGTATGTGTGTGTCTTTTCTTGGCTTTTTATCTTTGCTGACTAGTGTGTATAATGTTTGATATGGAAATCTGACATTCCTGGCTCCTTTGAATGTAGAAGAATTGTAACTTTTACAAAGCACATATTGTTCAAATAAACCTAGTGGCACTTTTTTCCTGGCTGTAAAACTAATTCAGTGTTTTTCTAACATATTTTGTCCTGCTAGTTTCTTTTATTCAGCATAAACAGCAGAAAAAGGCAGAGAGAAGAGAGGAAGAAATAGGGCAAAGTTCTAGTAGGAGGTAAAAACCTAAAACCATAAGTTCCTTATTACAGCAGGTCATGATAGTTTGGTGATCCAGTCAACATATGCTTTGGAGATATGTGTCTCCATAATTTTTAATAACTCAGATGATCTGGTTCTGTTAAATCTACTAAAACTATGTTAGTAGTGAACTGAAACAGTTCATAGCTGAGTGTGAAACAACTGGGAGGGAAACTCGCTCTTCTAAATCTGAGGCAACTGTTTTCAATCAGTTCAATGGCAGCCTGCTTTCTCCAGGCTAAGTCAGTCTCTGCTTTAACCAGATTGCAGAGGAATTATACTTAAAGTTTGTGTGCCATTAAAAGATTTCAGATTTATCAAACATTTGCATGCAAGAAAACAAGCAACCTTTACATTGAAGACGAAACATTATGTCCTGCCCTCTATATGCACACATTAACAATTAATGGTCAAAGAAAAGCGACTCATGAATGTCATTGTGTTTAAAAAGAGTCAGTGGATTAATGTTACTTAATAGTTACCATTGAAAATCCACAGAGGAGAGAGAGAAAGAAGCACAGTTTTAACCCCCCAAAGATGTGCTGTTGAGTGAGGTACATATGTTTGGTAGCCAAAGTGGCATAAATAAAGAGAAAATATTATACTGTAACTGGTATCCTATTCAGTGTTTGATCTAACAACACCATCCAGACAGGCAATAATATCTCAGCTTTTTCGATACATTCAGAGAGTTATTTTGGTCCCAAACATGGCTTCAGGCACAGAGATAATGAATAGTTGATCCTGTGTAACGTCCGTCAGGAACTCCAGAGTGTTAATTTAATATCTGTAATTACTTCATAAAATAAAAGACAGCCTGAAATCAGAATAGGCTGCCCACCAAGCTATCGATAAGATTTAGTAGAGATGTTAGATGCTTCCTAATTTAGCAACAGGTAAGTGGACTGCTGCCTTAAGCATTTCAGCCCAGAATGCTTAATGCTGTTTATTCACAGTACCAATTGTTTACATATACATTTGCAATAACGTACTTTAAGTGTAATATGCAATTACCTTCCACTGCACTTTAATTTAGATAGCTTCTGCCCAAACTTTATTCATTTTATAGTAAAACCCATCTGTATATGTGCTATTGTACATAACTGTAAAAACCCTTTTTATAGTAATATCCACCTGTATATTATATTTGGTACATATCCAGCTGTAAATTTAGTTCATAACACTAGTTATCTATATATTATATTCATCTATTAGTAAGATTCTGTTTATAATGGTATTCATCTCTATACTTATTCAGTAGAAACCCATGTCCTGTATTTATGGAACCATTATTTATCCTGCACTTGCTGCTATTGCACTACTGTTTAGACCTAAACTGCATTTCATTGCCTTGCACCTGTACCTGTGTAATGACAATAAAGTTGAATCTAATCTAATCTAATCTAATAAAGAAATAATTATATATTTAAATATATATCAAATCTTAAATATACCATGGACAGCAGGTTATCCATATTTCGTTGTATTTCACCATGCACCAAGCTACCCTTATTTTTTTCTACATTGGGGTTGTGCACACTGATCATTTTCTTTCTTCTTCTGTCATGAACAGGTAGAATCAGGATCAGTCTCCCCATTACTGGCCCGTTCAGCATTGCAAGAGCAATGCTCTAGGGCAGCAGTTCTCATACCTGGTCCTGAAGTACCATTGCTCTGCAAATTTCTGATATCTTTCTATTGCACCAGATCTGTTTTAAATGATTGCGTGTGCTCCTCAGCAGCCATGAAGTGCTGCAGAAACCTATAATCATTCCTTATATAAGGCAGGTGTGTGGCAGTAAGGAGACATCTAAAACTTTCTGGACAGTCATAAAGTGGCCATCATCATAAATCAGGAAAGCATGATTCCTGAAAACGCATTATTCTCCCATGTTCAACATTGTTCTTCAGAGCAGTGTCCATCATGCACCATTATGCACAGGTGTCACAGGGACATTTAATGATTACAGCAATCAGTGTGAATGCCACTACTTGTTAAATTTATGTACTGATCTGTGGTATGACTCGCACTGTTGATCATCGCGAAGAAGAATGTGAATTTTGATTATGGATCTGACTTGCTCATAGGCCTTTTGTTATCTGTTTGACTAGCCTCCATGTATAGTTATGGTTGACCAATGCAAATATGAGTTATACTGTTATATCTGATGGTTATGGTGACAAAAAGTAATGATGAACACCTAGAAGGCTTAATCTAGCTCTCTAGGTGTTTAATCTCATTTCTTCTCCTCCTTATATGTGTGGCCTTTTTCTCATTTCCCCCAAAATGTGTGTAAGCAGTGGTCTGAGATGACGAGAGTGACTGCCAAGTTTGTTTTTGGTAATGGAAAGTGAAATAAGCAAGTCACTTTTCTGCACGTATAAAAGCTTGATGAATCAGACTCTAGGTTATATGTAGTTAAGACAAAAAAAAAATCAAAAATTGAAGCTCTTCAAAAAAAACACCCATCTATATTCTGAGCTTTTCACCTTTAGTCATTTCCAGATCTTCATGAAAAGATCATGATTCTAGAAAAAGGCAGATCAATCAAGTCTCTGTCTCATCCATGATGAGGTTGGAGTGTAGCCAGAACTCCTTGACATTGAAATTTGTCAATTTAGGTGGTGGTGGCCCTTTGCTTTCAAAGTACAAACAAATGAAGAAGATCCATTATTTATAAGAAGAACTAGGTGTCTCTTCTGGCCTGGAATATTCTATGCTCCTCAGCACTATAAATAATGTTGTGTATTACCTTTGTATTGGATCTTTTTTTAACCCTGGCCTGAGGCCAGACTCTTTGTACTGATTTAGAAGAGCTGGCTCCTGCTGGGCAAGAGCTCACCACTTTTCTTTTCTTTTCGCTGCTCAGTTCTCACTCAGTGGCTCTGCCCTGCTTGGAGTAAAGCTTTGTTTTCACTGACAGCATGTCAGCCTTTTGGTCAACCACATTTAACGTAGACAGTAGAACACTTCATTAATCCCACCTGGGGCAATTAGTTTGAGCAGTACACGAGACAAACAAACAAAAGCAAGCATGTAATGACATAAAAAAATAAGATGATTAAAAAAGAAAAGACAGGAAGCTTAAGAACCAACGTTAATAATGATTACAAAATACAGAAAGATAGTAAAAAAGATAACACAGCTATCTTTTAAATCAAAATAAAATTATTAAAAAACACAGCCACACCACATAGAATGTAAAAGCCAAATGGCTGTTGGTATAAAATAGCAGTAGTATAGCAGTTTGTTTTACAGTCAGGCGTTACATAGTGGCGTCCTGAAGGCAACAAAGGGAATTTAAAGAATTTAAAGATAAGGGCTCATACCAGTGTGAAAACAATGAGCGTGTCTGTTTCAGAAAATATGTTTCAACATCTTTTATGAATCTGAGATTTTCTATATTAACTCAATCTGTGTTACTGATGTGGAATTTATTTTCTTCTCTAGTGGATTTCTCTGTTAAGTTGCTGCACTGGTCTGACAAAGAAAAAGTCAGAGTACAACTTTGGGATATTGCAGGTAAGAAAGGGGTTGATTTCAGGTCTGTTGTGCATGAATGCAAATATTGGTTTAGCAAAGAATGACATGAATAGAAATATTTGCAGATTGAGGAACTGTGAATAGTTGTTTTTCTTTTTTTTTTTTTCCCAGGCCAGGAGCGTTTCATATCAATGACTAGATTGTATTATAAAGGTGCAATGGGCTGTATTGTGATGTTTGATGTCACAAACTCAACTAGTTTCCAAAACTGTCACTACTGGAAACAAGACCTGGACAACAAGACCATGCTCCCCAATGGACGCCCCATCCCATGCATCCTGCTGGCGAACAAGGTGATTCAGTGCATTCAGTCAGTGCATGATACATTAGGAGAGCTTGCAGGCTTAGCACAGATGAATAAATATCTCGCTCATGTTTTTTGTGTGAGCTATATGACGTCTAAAGGCTTTTGGTTTGTAGACTAAGCATTAATCTGCAACATCTCTTGGTCCCTGGAATTTTAGATTTCTTTGAATTTGCACATATATTTATGTCCTGTTGTCTTCCAACTGTTTATTGGTACTAAACACAAAATACTAAAAGAAGTTAGTTCCATGAAATTCTGAAATATTGAAGTTATAAGAAAATTAACAAAATAAGAATGATTACGTTAAGAAATTTAGATGTAGAGATGCCAGAACCAGTCAAATGTACCTTTAACATTAGATGTATACATATTGTATAAAAAAATACATGACTTTTCATGCTCACGGTCTGGTTTTTAATCACTACTTTCCTGCTTTAGGTCAAAAAAGATTAAGAAATCCCTGAATACTGGAGACAGAATTTTAAAATGTTAATTTATTTTTTATTTTTTTTGTTCAGAAGATTACATACAGTTTCTTGGATTTTGGTCCACTGTAAATCTAATTACCGTTATTTTAAAAAAGCATGTAAAGTGGTTGCACTTACAAAAATATGTAAACTAGGTATTTTATTTTTGGAACTAAAGAGAACATTATTTGAAGAGTAAATTTGTACACACTAAGACAACTCAGAAAAATAATTTTAATATATTAAATAATTGCATTGCATTTACTGGTAAATCCACTCATTGCCCCTTAATCTGTCAGGGTCGCAGTGTGGCTGGTGGAAGGGATCATTTAGAGGCGCAGTCAACAGTCATGTTATTGGACTGTGGTAAGATGCCAGAGTACCCGGAAATAACCCACACATGCACATGGAGAACACGCAAACTCCAGGAAGAGGGAATCAATCCCAGGCCCTTCTTGCTGCAAATCAACATCGCTACAAACTGCACCACCGTGCAGCCCACTGTTATCCAATCTTATGAAAGTTGGGATAACACAGCAGTTCTGGGTTATATGTCATTGATCTGAAATCTGATATACTTTCTAAAACCAAGGGGGAAAAAAATGCATTTAAAACAAATATCTCTACATAAATCAAAAACAGGTTCCAATATTCTAAAATGTTCTGAATTACAATTAAAAATAGTGAATGTTTTCTTTTTCATATTATTATTAACTGTAAACATTGTCTTTAATGACATCCACAAACAGCATACTGTAATTTATATGCTTTGCTGCAGGCCAGTATCATGGCATCTCATAGTCTATCCTTGTGTAATTTGTGAATGTGTCCTTGAACCAACATTGTAGAACATGTTTGTAACCTACATTATTCTGAGCTGTTTACAGTGTTGAAGAATGACATGGAATATCTTATCTACAGATTACATGATGATATATAGTAATATGTAAATGTGCAAGTCTATAGTCAGGGGTTAATTTGTATTTTTGTCACCTTGACAGGTTGATAGTAGTGAAACCTGCAATAATATGTGGTTTGGAGATGGATAAATTTTTCCAAAAGACATTGGTCTGCACTACTAGAAATTAGCAAAGAATGGAATGGGACAGTTTAGGGCAAGATTGAAATTTTTTTTTGAGCTTGCACAGAACACCTTGTGATTAAATCCAAAGGCTGACTTAATTTAAAGATCACTTTTCCAGTAATGCTGATCCCTTTAAACACAGTTGAACTTGCAACGGTCAGATATCCATACACCTTTTAAGATGGGTTAAGTATACCCCAATCAAACATCAGCGTATTGTAAATTAAGCTGCAGTCAAACCTTAAAGTTATTGTGGATTATATAATAAGATGGATGAAAAAAACCCCCGGGGGGAACCCCAAAAGGAACAACAAAAAAAAAAAAAACCCTGCAAAATAACAAGGAAAAAAACCTTGGGAATTAAAAATAAAAAAAGCCAAAAAGTAAGTAAAAAGTGGGCAAACAAAACAAAAAGGGCAGCGGAAGGGGGAAGTTGCCCCGCAAACGCAAGGGTGGCCGGCCAAACCCCAAACTCGCGCTCACAATCACAGTGTCCCCGAGAAAAACACCCCCCCCAGAGTCTACGGAGAGGGGGCGCAGAGACACTGGGCACAACAGTACACCAACACCGCGCCTATAACAGAGACCCACAACACAGCTGGCGACAAAATAGAGCGCCACAACAACAGTGTGTGAATGAATGGATGAATGACTGAATTCAGTCTAAATGGCTTTAGTCAAACGATCCAACTTGAAAAAGTGCCATATAAGAACAGGCCATGTTACCATTAACGATTTTACAGATAATTAATATAGTACTTAACTAGAACTGGAAGTTATAGTCAATTAAAAGATAATTAAAATCAAGGCTAAAACCTACATTAGTGCATAATTATGATTATTAGTTAAATGATTATTGGAGTCTGGTTACTCAACAAGGCTCTTTAGTGTTCTACTCAAGGTTAGACTTCTGGACCGGCTGTTAGAGTTTTCTTTCCAGTTTTCTTTCACCAATTTAGTAATTTAGAGTATGGTTATCAGCAGAGTTGTTAATCACCAACCAAAGAAAAATGTCTCTGTTTCTTCAAGTGTTAACCAAAGGGGAGATTAATCTGGCTCTGAGGGAAAAATCGTTCACCGTATAAATAATCACAGAACACCACTGGTTATAATATCTGTATCTTGATTGACTAATAATCCATATTAAAGTATTGTTGTAGCCATTAAAATAGCAGCAGATGCTAATGAATACTGTAACAACTGATGCAGAGATCTTAAATGTAATCAAAACATGCCAGACTGGAACAATGGGTTGTAAATCTCATAAAATGGCTGCCTGGCCAAAATGAGGTAGCCTGGAGTTAACAATGCTAGCCAAATAAGGTAGCTTGGAGTTAATAATGCTGGACACTTAACCTTATCACATTAACTCTCAGGACGAAAAGAGAAAAATCAACACATACAGACCCACACATCCTCATTTACACACACACTTCATAAATTCAACATTCAGTTCAGGACCCTTTGATATAAAATCATTGACATCTAAGATCTAGGAGTTTTCTTCAGTTAAAACACATGGAATTTATCTATTCTATACCTCTCCGAAGCTGTTGTACCTCAGTAAGCATCAGATTTTTAAAAAAAGGTTTTACTATGTGCTGATTCAGTGGACGGAAGGATCGATGTTCAGTCCAGTTCGGCCAAGAAATTAAGTTCGGTCCAAAAGGCAGCTCTCGGAGAGAATTCAAATAGTCTGATGCAACAACAAAAGGAGAACAGTGCCTTAAACAGTTAAACTTAAACTTAAAGCAGTGTAGGGACTTGTCCAATGAAGGTATAAGCCATAGCCGATGTCAGCTCTTTTGGCCTCTTTGGTCGACCAAAGACGAGATGCTGATGAAAGACACAACTTCCAGTTCTCTCTGAATCATAGGCAGTTGGCATACTGGTTTCACCAGTGAACACGGACAATTCAAAGGAAAGGGATGTATTTTTAACTGAATGACTACTAACAAGTTTGTCTCTTTTGTGCCCTCTATTCTGTCCTGCTCTCCCACAGTGTGATCTTTCTCAATGGGCTGTCAAAGCAGAAAGTATAGAGAAGTTCTGCAAGGCAAATGGTTTCTTAACATGGATGGAAACTTCTGTCAAAGATAACAAGAACGTTGGAGAGGCTATGAGGTAACCTGCCATGTTGACTCAAAACCACTACATCCAAAGCTTACATGGTGCAGCATGACAACTAACAATATTTATACTTCCCTTTTCTTTATTCTACACTTCCTTCTATCTTTGAGTTGATTTTAACATTTGCTTTTAAAGTTTTATAATGTCTGGTACCATAATATTGTTTTGATCTTCTTAAAATTCAAGCTCCACTAATAGAACTTGAGCCGAGCAGCTGCCATGATTTGTGGTTAAGTCCGTGTCACACCTTGATGATTTAGCCAGTATATGCTTGACGTCCCAGAATCTTCTACAATGCTGGCATACGCTGAACTTTCTATGTATATTTTCAATTTTGGGCGTATACAAAGAGTATTCATAACCAGTCCAGAATCATATCCAATGAAAGTCTAATTTATGCATAACACACAACAGCGTAATGCCCATTAAATTTCACAAGCCAGTGTCCTGAGGGGGGCAGCAATGTGCCCGGAGACTCCCAACCTGTATAAAAAGATTTCTTTGATCGTTTTATTAACCTAGCTGCCCACCAAAAACAAATAAATAAAAAGGTTTGCAGTTGCAGCAGATTCAGCATCATGTCTGCTAGGAAATGTGTTGGTCATGGATGTGACCATAACACTCACCTTCTCACTCGCTCTATAATGGGGATGAAGTCTGGAGGAGAACTGACAGGTTCCTCCTGTGAACCCACTTTCATACCAAAATGCTGCCAATACACCATTATACAGTAGCTGTAATTTAGAAACTTATTCAGCGGTCATTTGAAACGCGTCAAATTTGTTGATTTGCATTGGAGATAAGTCATTGATAAGTTATGCATAAGTTCATAGGTTTTAGATAAGCTAGACACTACGACTTATGAGTAACTTACACTTAACATATGTCAACGATCAAAAACTTACCTGTAACTTGTGCACTGAAACAGGTGTGCCTGTGTGTTCTAGTGTTCTTCAGCGTGCTCATAACTTATACAACGTATGCTAGCATTTTTGCCAGATTCTTCATACTTCAGGCATACGCTGTCTAAATTATCAAGGTGTGACATTGGCTTCAGGGAAGGACTAGCGATGGGAAGTTCATCTATTTTGGCCCAGCTCACAAATGGCTCTCTTATTTATTTTAGCTTAAGTGGGCAAATATCGATATTTTGTATGGTAATGAATAATTTTTCATTCAGTGCTTTTATGTCAAAGACAATGATTTTAAACTCTAAATAAATCCTGACCTCCTCGTTAATATATTTTTGCTCTATTAACCTGTATACTTATTTAATTGTTGTTTGTTAATATCAAAGTCAATGTCCATTTATTTATACAGTAAAGCATATACAAAATGAACAGATGTTGACAAAGTACAGCTCAATGAAATAACATAAGAACATATATATATATATTCAAAAACAAAGTTAAAACTACAACTAATATACTCCCTAACTATGATAATAAGACAAACAAACTCAGTTAGGATCAAACGCCAAGGAATAGAAGTCCAATCACCTCTGAATTTTATCATGGATCTTTTTAAGAGAAGCTGGTTGGTTGACCGAAGTACTTTTTCTGGAATGTAAATGTTAAGATCACAGGAGATCATAGAAGCTACTTGGATTCTGTTTGACTCATTCATAGCACTGTTTTTGATTAGTGATATGAAGTGGTCAATCCATTTCAGTTTTCAAAGACAAGCATCAAAATCCTAACATCTAACCCTTGAACAAACTGGCAGCAAGTGAGAAAAAGCCAAAACCGGTAATATGTGCTGTCATTTTTAATACCTTTTTAAAGACAATCTGCTGCATTTTGGACCATTTTTAAGCAATGCAAAGATTTTATACCTAGTAAATGGTAAATGGCCTGTACTTATATAGCCCCTTTTTAAGTCAGGAGACTTCAAACCACTTTACTGTACACTACATTCAGTCATTCACCCATTTACGCACACACTGATGGTGGCAAGCTACATTGTAGCCACAGCTGCCCTGGGGCTCACTGACAGAAGCAAGGCTGCCGTACACTGGCGCCACCGGGCCCTCTGACCACCATCAGTAGGCAATGCAGGTGAAGTGTCTTGCCCAAGGACACAACGACACTGAAAGCCGGAGCCGGGGTTTGAACTGTCAACCCTTCGATTTCAGGGAAAACTCCTACACCTGACGCCAGTGTTGCCCCAGGCTAACATACAATTCTGTAGAATAATAAACACTGGACTGCATGATTGCGCTCATCTGGTTGTCTAGTTAAAAGCACCATCCAAAGTAAAACCAAAAGTTCTGATAGTAGAATGACTGTATGGGGCCAAGACTATCATGGGTTACATTTAATTTGTTAATATGCTTATTTTTTCAGGAGGCTGGTGGAGGAGGCGTTATCATTGGAGTCCAGTTTGGATCCACTGCAGGCCAAAACAGAAGTTGGTCTTCAACCAGAATTGGAGTCAAAACTCAGCAGCAGTGCAGGAAGAAGCTGCTGCTGAGGCAGCAAACATTTTTATCTAGTAGACAATCTAAAACACCTCAAGTTGGAATCAAGTAATTAAGGGCACTTCATGATAGTGTTACAGGTTATTTTTTAAGTCTTGGCACCGCTTTGACATGATAGGTCACATAAATAAATGCTGAATGTACACTTTATACATAAGCTGTGTAACTGAAACATAATTTAACTTTATTTAGAAACTGTTCACTACAAAGGTAATCAAAAATGATCCTTCTTTGAATCCATAAACCTGTTGTAAAAATATTCATAAACATTTTTCATCAAAGGAAAACAATGACATGTGTGGGGTCTCTTAAAGTTTCTATTACTTTATAGCAATTAAAACATCAGTATGAATGTCTTGGAATGTCTTTTTTTTTTACAAATTTCTTATTTTGGATTAGCTTATGAATAATTTCTGATCAAATAAATATAACTTGCTTGAAAATGCAGCTGTTGGCTGCTGTAAATAAAGATGATCAAATTAAATATAGACCTTTTCCTGTATGTTTTATTATATTTACCAAGTTTTATATATACAATTTATTTATATTAACTATAAGTTGAGTTGGGTATCTAATAGGGAGTTGGCTGAAGTAGCAAATACTTATCTGGCTCTATCTGCTTGAATTTTTATTTCATCCCTATTAATACATCTGTTTAAGAAATTAGATTCCACTCTAAAAAAAATTATTTTTGGATAAGAAACAAATGTGTTACTCACTAACTGTAACGGATGGGGTCAGTGCTGTTTGAAACAAGCTTTATTTAGAAATAACTCAAAGCGGGGTTTGGGGCATGCTGCTCCAAAGCAGGAAACCTCCTGTGGCAGAGACGACTCACAAGTACTCACGGTACTCACAAGCTGGCAGGGTCAGATTGACAAAAGGCTTCACTGGGTCAGGCTGGTAGGCAGGTCCAAGGACAGAAATGGGTCAGGCAACAGACAGGCAATCACAAGGTAAAATGCTGGAATGCTCATGCAGGTGGCTAGAGACAATCTGGCACTGGCAGCTGATCTGCAGAGGGTATATATGAGGTAAACAGCTGTAATGAATGGTGGATCAGACTAATAACAGAGTCGAGACTGTCACACTAACGATGTGATGAACTGGAACTAAAGTAAATCACCGGAGACGAGTGACCAGAAGCAAATGGAGCATGGAGCTGAAGTGAACCTTGCAAGGATTAGCTTTCCCACCAAGAATACTTCAAGAGCAAATCCACAACATAAGCAGAGGGTAACAAAAGAACTCAGAATAAGGTCTAAAAATCTGCATACAACACACTGGACTCAATCAATGTAAGAGTTCATGATTTAACAATACGAAAGAGGGACCTGACAAACAGCCCAGCTCTAAGGCCAGAGCTATTCAGGACCAAAGAGAATACAAAGGCGAGACAACATTGCAGTTTTCTTGAAGGTGCCCCACACACTATGTGAAAGTCATGTAGAGTAGTATGTAACACAATGTGTTTTGTTCCCTAGTAGGGAGGGATATGTTAGCCCTAAGAAACACATCTTGGTTCTCCAACGGGGTAAAATAAATGTTATAGAGTAGCCATGTCAAGGTTATATTCAAATCTGATTTAAATGTTACAGTATGACCTTAACCAGGCTGTATGTGGTAAAAAAAAAAAAAAAAAAAGACTTCCAAGGTGGATAAATCAAACTAAATATACAAAAACCACTTCAGTCACGAGTCAAAATTACATATATATAAAGTATTTGAAGGTGGCAGTTGTGAGAAAAAGCCTTTGGACAGATCTGCTTGTGTGTTTTAATCATTTCTAAAATTAAATCCTTTTTCCAACAACCTGTAGCTATATTAAACTGATAACAAATATTTAGATTTGACAAAGTAAAAAGCAGGGGGAAAAAATGAATAGCACCATAAATACTATTGGTCAGCCTTGGAAAAAAAGAGTGTTCCCATGAATTTTACTTTTAAGGTCGGTGTGATTTCTTTTCAGGAATTCAACTGCTTGCTTTTTGAGAAACAGACAAGCAAGGATCAAAAGCATAAGGGAAGCACAAGGACCGCAGGAAGGAAGGTTTAACGATTTTTGCGTGGAAGCTGAGTGAATTAGATGGAGATGGAGAGCACCTCTCAGCCAACACACACTGAGTCATTCAGACACATGACGTCTTTATGCTAAAAGAAGGCATGTGTGTGGATGAGCTGAGATAATCATAAGCAAGCGTTGTTGGATTTTGGTGAGTATATGAAACAGGCACATGGATAGGCATGTGTCCTCGATAAGCATGGTTTGTAATGCTGGATTTTTCCAACAGAGAAATCACATGTAAATTACAGGGAGAAAAGAAGGGGAAGGGATGTTTTACTGAGACAAGGATGCTCTAAACAGAGATTAAAACTAAATAGTAGTTTGGTATATTTGTTCATCATTAAAAGATGGCAAAGATTGATGGATAGGAATTCAGGTCAAACAATCTGCACCGAAACAGTTTGAATACAATTTTTTCTTAAATGTGTAATCATTTTCCATAATAATATTAAATCTTCAAAATCCATGGAGGTAGATAGATACCATCTAAATGTATTTTATTTATTTTTTTATCCTGCCAGTTTTTACCCGTACAAATAGTATTATATTATACTATATGCTTTTTTTACTTTTATTTATTGGAACAGTTTACCTAATAAACATGAACAGCTCAGGAGGCATAATTATAAAGCTGAGGTTCATGTTGGTAGCGACCAGTTTTGCTGTTTTGGCAGAAATATGGAGTAGCATACTGTAGCCTTTCCTGTATTAAAATACCATGCCATACCTGAAAAATCCTTACAGCTTACAAGTTGGCTGGTTACATTCAGCAGTCATTGGAATCCACCCAAGATCTATCCAAGGAAGGAGCAAACATGAAATATTTCAAGTTAAATTTGTTTATTTATAACATGCCAGTTGCTTATACTGTACATGCTATCTAAAGGTATTTTTCAGAGACACTTCATTGAAATCATAGAGACAGATTGCCTAAAAGTTTCCATCTTAGGGCCGTGAAGATTGAATTGCATCATTGACTATAAAGAATTTACTCCTCTTGGAGCATGTGTCGAGAATAGACAACGTATTGTTAACTTGGCAGCAATCCCTCACACCAAGCATGCACACAGCAACAGTGGAGAGGAAACATTGCCTTTTAACAGGAGAAAATATCTGGCTGAACCAGGCTCATTGTGATTGCCCTTTCATTGAGGACAATTGGAGGGTTCACAAGGACAGAAGCAAATAAAAAATATAGATGGAAGCACTGATCCATAAATGATTTTTATGTTAGAAAATGTCATAAATTAGCTGCACAGGATCTATGTAAAGAAAAACAGTAGCAGAAGAGCTCTAAGCTGGTTTTCATTTAAAGTCTTTGAGTTAACAAAGATTGAAGCAGAATGAGGAAAATAGATGATCCTTTTTTTAAGAGAACTATAGTTCTTCTGTTTGTAGATCATGGTTTCTCTCTTTAAACGGCCTTTGCCTCTAATGGAAGTATATTTTACAAAAGTTTTTTGATTTTTCCATATTTGTCATGATTTTTAATCACACAAACCATAAAAAGTTGTGTGTGTGTGTGTGTGTGGGGGGGGGG